ATGGCCTGGGAAAGCCGTGGAAGATGGCCCAAGTGCTTTGGGCCCCTGCACCAACATGGGAGACCCAGAAGAAGGTCCTGTTACTAAAATGCACAATGTTGTGATAGACAGTGCTTTTGCTATGAAGAAGAGTCCCAAATGGGGCTGTTAGTTTCCTTCCTGTGAAAGAATGCAAAATTGCTAAGATGAAGGTAGCACCAGCAGTCTTTGGAAAATATGGAAAGTTCTTCCCTTTTCTTTTCTCTCCTTTTTTTTTTTTTTTTTTAAAGATTTATTTATTTGAGAGGCAGAGTTACATAGAAGGGGGTGGGGAGAGACAGAGAGAGATACCTTCCATCTGCTGGTTCACATCCCAAATGGCCACAATAGCTAGAGCTGGGCGGTAAGGACAGGAATTTTCTTGTGGGTCACTCACATGGGTTCAGGGGCTCAAGTACATGAGCCATTTTCTGCTGCCTTCCTAGGCACATTAGCAGGGAACTGGATTGGAAGTGGAGCAGCAGGGATTCAAACTACCGCCCACATGGGATGCTGGTACTGCAGGCTACGTCTTTACCAACTGTGCTGCAGCACCAGTCCTGGAAGGTTCTTTCTTTAGATTTCTTTTGTTTTCTGAGCTTTATTTAAGGTCTCTGGATCTAATGTAAATTTATTTTCCACTGCCTCCTAGATTATGCCTAGTCTTTTTGAAAGAAGGGAGACCATGTTAATGTTCTTTTGTTTTGTTTCTTTGTTTCTTTTTTTTTTTTTAGAAGATTTATTTATTTATTTGAAAGGCAAAGCTACAGAGAGGTAGAAACAGAGAGAGAGGTCTTCCATCTGCTGGTTCACTCCCCAAATAGCCACAACAGCTAGAGCTGGGCCAATCCGGAGCCAGGAACTTCTTCTGGGTCTCCCATGTGGGTGCAGGGGCCCAAAAACTTGGGGGGGCCATCTTCTGCTTTCCCAGGCCATAGCAGAGAGTTCACTTTCCAGCACTGGTGTATGGCTCTCAGCTGGTGGAGTCCCGAGCCGTGGACACCCACATTCTCCACGTAAATCCACCATGACCCTCTAATTTCGGTAGAGTTTTCTCTGCCGTTTTTCCCTAACTCTTCCCTGAGACTACACAATCTCCACTTTTTAAAACTATCTTCTCCTGGGCTAGAGCAGTAAGCTTCCTCTCTGCCATCTTGGAACTTCCCCATGTTAATGTTCATTATAAAAGATCATTATGAACCTAAAAACAAATTTATTAATAGAACACAATTTTTAATAATTTAGTCCCACAACTATAAAGAAACTAGCCCATTTTTACATTGAGGAAAAAAAAGTCATGATAATTTTAAAAGGCTGATTTTGGGATATAGTAATTTTTTCTGGTAATGGAAAACATTGTGTCAAAAATATAAAATTTACTGGTACAGAAACAGATGAATAGACCAATGGAACAGAATTGAAACACCAGAAATCAACCCAAACATCTACAGCCAACTTATATTTGATCAAGGATCTAAAACCAATTCCTGGAGCAAGGACAGTCTATTCAATAAATGGTGCTGGGAAAACTGGATTTCCACGTGCAGAAGCATGAAGCAAGACCCCTACCTTACACCTTATACAAAAATCCACTCAACATGGATTAAAGACCTAAATCTACGACCTGACACCATCAAGTTATTAGAGAACATTGGAGAAACCCTTCAAGATATTGGCACAGGCAAAGAATTTCTGGAAAAGACCCGGGAGGCACAGGTAGTCAAAGCCAAAATCAACTATTGGGATTGCATCAAATTGAGAAGTTTCTGTACTGCAAAAGAAACAGTCAGGAGAGTGAAGAGACAACCGACAGAATGGGAAAAAATATTTGCAAACTATGCAACAGATAAAGGGTTAATAACCAGAATCTACAAGGAGATCAAGAAACTCCACAAAAACAAAACCAACAACCCACTTAAGAGATGGGCCAAGGACCTCAATAGACATTTTTCAAAAGAGGAAATCCAAATGGCCAACAGGCACATGAAAAAATGTTCAAGGTCACTAGCAATCAGGGAAATGCAAATCAAAACCACAATAAGGTTTCACCTCACCCGGGTTAGAATGGCTCACATACAGAAATCTACCAACAACAGATGCTGACGAGGATGTGGGGAAAAAGGGACACTAACCTACTGTTGGTGGGAATGCAAACTGGTCAAGCCACTATGGAAATCAGTCTGGCGATTCCTCAGAAACCTGAATATAGCCCTACTGTTCGACCCAGCCATCCCACTCTTTGGGATTTACCCAAAGGAATTTAAATTGGCAAACAAAAAAGCGGTCTGCACCCTAATGTTTATTGCAGCACAATTCACAATAGCCAAGACCTGGAACCAACCTAAATGCCCATCAATGGTAGACTGGATAAAGAAATTATGGGATATGTACTCTTTACAATACTATACCGCAGTAAGAAACAACGAAATCCAGTCATTTGCAGCAAAATGGAGGAATCTGGAACACATCATGCTGAGTGAAATAAGCCATTCCCAAAGGGACAAATACCATATGTTCTCCCTGATTGGTGACAACTGACTGAACACCAAAAAGGAAACCTGTTGAAGTGAAATGGACACTATGAGAAATGGTGACTTGATCAGCATAGCCCTGACTGTTAGTGAACAACTTAATACATTATCCCTCTTAGTATTTTTTTTTGTCTGTTCTACTTAATATGACTGGTTTAATTCTGTAATTAATACACAGTTATTCTTAAGTGTTGAAATTTAACTGAAATGTGATCCCTGTTAAACATAAGAGTGGGAATAAGAGAGGGAAGAGATGTACAATTTGGGACATGCTCAAGCTGGCTTGCCCCAAATGGTAGAGTTAGAAACATTCCAGGGGACTCCAATTTAATCCCATCAAGGTGGCGTGTACCAGTGCCATCTCACTATTCCAAGTGATCAATTTCAGTTCACAGTTGATCATAATGAAAGGACTAAGAGTCAAAGGGAGCACATAAACAAGTCTAGTACCTGCTAATACTAACCGATAGAATAAATAAAGGGGAGAGTGATCCAACATGGGAAGCGAGATACTCAGCAGACTCATAGAAAGGCGGATGTCCTAAACAGCACTCTGGCCTCAGAATCAGCCCTAAAGGCATTCGGATCTGGCTGAAAAGCCCATGAGAGTATTTCAGGCATGGAAAGCCAAGACACTCTGACAAAAAAAAAAAAAAAAACAAAAACCCACACACACCTAAATGAAAAGTCTCTGTGAGTGAGATCCCAGTGGAAAGAACAGGTCTTCAAAAAAGGAGGTACCTTTCTCTGAAGGGAGGAGAGAACCTCCACTTTGACTATGACCTTGTCTAAACAAGATAAGAGTTGGAGAACTCAAGGGGCTTCCATAGCCTTGGAAACTCATGACTGGTGCATAGGGAGATTACTGATGCCATAAACAGGAGTGTCAATTTGTAAAGTCAACAACAGGAGTCACTGTGCACTTACTCCTCATGTAGGATCTCTGTCCTTAATGTGCTGTACATTGAGACTTAATGCTATAACGAGTACTCAAACAGTATATTTCACTTTGTGTTTCTATGGGGGTGCAAACTGTTGAAATCTTTACTTAATGTATACTAAACTGATCTTCTGTAAAAAAAAAAAAAAAAGAAGAAGAAGAAGAAATTATCGATTCCCAACTTGACTCTCACTGGGATTGCGGGTGGGAGGGACGTTATGGGGGGGGGAAGCCATTGTAATCCATAAGCCGTACTTTGGAAATTTATATTCATTAAATAAAAGTTAAAAAAAAAAGGAAAAAAATATAAAATCATCTTTGAATTTCGTAGCTCAAATAATGAAGTCTTAAAATAGTTTTACTGTATTATTTTAGGGTTTGTTGTTTTGTAATCTCTTAAAGTACCCAAATTTGTTGTTGGACAGTTCTCTTCAACCCTGACTTCTGCTTCTCATATGTTGATTGGTTCTCCCACTGAGTTTTGTGTGCCTTTTGGAGCAGGGTCTCAGTTTTCTTTGTATCCTTAATATCAAGGACAGTGAAGGACATACAGAAGATGCTTAATAAGGTGTAAATAATAGAATAACTTTATGATAATTATGGAAAAAGCAGATTTTTTATGACGTACTAGCTTTTCATAAACAAAATTTAAATGATATTGGTTTACTTATTATGTATGAAAATTAGCATGTTACTTCCAGTGCTTGGTGCAAGTAAACAATTTTTAAAAACAACTCTTTAGTAAGCAAAATTATCTTCCTTACTTAAAGAAGCATTTTTCCATTCTTTTATACTTTATATACCTGATGGCAGTGACAAACACTGGTGGCAGCAAACTTGGTACTTTGTCTTTAATTTTTAAAAGATATATAACTAGCTTTATTTTTTTATTAGCATGAGCAATAAATTTTAAGATGTTAAATTATTTATACTCAGTGAGATTTTACCTTTAATTCAGTTATGCTAATTTAAATGAAACTATCAAGTAATTCATTATAACTTATTCTTCCTAATATATTTAGCTAAACAGCATATTTGAGTGTCAAAATAGCCAAAATGCAAGGTGCATTTGATAAATGAGAGAATTCTTTGGGTCTGGTCACTGAATGTGAATATACAGAATGGACTGGGAATCACTGGTTGTTTAAATTCCTGTGATAATTACTACTTAGTTTTTGCTTTAACATGTAATATAATATAGCAGTTAAACAGAAAAGTAGTTTAAGACTCATGTGTTTGATGGACATGAGATAGTAGTTTACTATTTGATTTTCATTTTTAATTACAAGGAATCAAATACTTTTCTACATGTTTATTGTCTATTTAAGTGTGCGTTGTGCCTGTTTACATCCTTTACCCGTTTTCTATTGGATATTGCTTTGGAGGAGCTATTTTTATAATTGTGAAATTTAATATTATTAGTGGAATTAATTCTTGTTAGCTGATATTCATATTATATAATTAATTTTCTAGTTTGTGACTAAGTCAGTCTTCTCTTTTTCTCTCTATAGGGTATGAATGTGATTTCTGATGAAACTGGATTGGAATAATTTTGATGATCTTTGTATATTTATATATATATTTTAAAATTTTGCATTTGACTTAAAGTGCCATGAGAAAATTTGCATACTGCAAGGTGGTTCTAGCCACCTCCTTGATTTGGGTACTCTTGGATATGTTCCTGCTGCTTTACTTCAGTGAATGCAACAAATGTGATGAAAAAAAAGAGAGAGGACTTCCTGCTGGGGATGGTAAGTGATATTTTATAATAAAACTGTTTTGATAAAGATATCACTGGTTTTTACTAATAAATTTGGATAATATAAACTTAATTTTTTAGATTAATAGAAATTCCTAGCTTTCTTATATATATTATGATCATATTTCCTACAGTTTCTGGTGGGTTCTTCCAGCAGTTAAAAGTATTAGAGTATCATATTGAATTGCTAAATTCAGTATTGGTGTGCATTATTAAATGTAAACATTCTACAAGTTACTTTGCACTACCAAACAATGTTAGGAATCTCATAGTTGAACTGTCAAAATTATACAGAGCAATCTAATGCCGTACTGCTGGGTAGAGTATTAAAATTGCTGTAACATTTTGTCAAAAGAGATTTTTCCTGCACTCCCATCTCAGTCTTATGAGGAAAAGTCTTATGAGGAAAAATCTTTATAGTTAAATGTGATCTGAGAGTTCTTTTTGCTAATGCTCTAGATAACTCCAATTAACGCTTTAAGGGAATGGCTTTTGAAAAGATCAAGATATGGAATAGGGCTAAAGTGAGATCACTTCACTATCTGGAATGGCTGCACTGAAGATCAGTAATTCAGCTTTTCTGAACTTTTTGTGATTAAAGAATATATGTTTATATAAAGCACTTGTACTATTTTTGGGAATAACTTGCAAGTAATTACTCTGTTGTTTCAACATAAGTTTTCTGTGAGTATGTAACTCCTTAAAATTTTTCATAGTTTTATAGTAAGAATGGCATTTGATCCCCTAAAATTAATATTCAAAAATGTTTTGTTGGATTTGTAACTGTGCCTACTTAACAATAATTTTTAAAATACTCATTTGAAAGGCAGAGAGACCTTCCATCTTCTGGTTCATTCCTCAGATGGCATCAACAGCCACTTGTGCCAGACCAAAGCCAGGAACCGGAGTCAGAGAAAGAGGTCTTCCATCCACTGGTTCATTCCCCAAATGGCCATTAGCAGACAGCAGATTGGAAGAGGAACAGCAGGACACAAACCAGTGCCCATATGGGGTGCTGGTGTTACAGGTGGAGGCTTAGCCTAGTACTCCACAACACTGACCCCTCAAACCATAATTTTAATAGTTGAGTTTATATAACCAGTCTATTTATTTATTCTTGGGAAATTTGTCTAAAATTAGGCTTAGTTGCTAGCAGTAGATGTTGATAATACTGAGGCTAACCTTTAACTTTAATTTTCACTTTCTCCATAAGTCTTAATGAAATGCATTTTTATTCAAAGTCATCCTATTAATTTGCATATTTACTTTATGGCTCAGGTGTTTAAAAACTTTATTGGATAACAACACACTTCTTTCTTAACTTGCTAGAGCTATGCTCTCTGTGTACACTTAAATCAAAAGGGAGGTATTATCATTCACCAGTAAGAAACCCTAATGTTCTTTCCCCCTCATTCTGTATTAATTCATTGCCATTTATAGTGAGAGCTCATGGTGTTCTATCTTAAATTCAAAGCTTTGAAGGCAAGAAAGAGTAGGGCCTGATAGAATGTGAAGATTGACTCAGTGAAATTTTTTTTAAAGATTTATTTATTTATTTGAAAGAGTTACAAAGAGGGGGGGGGGGAGGGAGAAAGAGAGAGAGAGGTCTTCCATCCAATGTTCACTCCCCAATTGGCCGCTATGGCCAGAGCTGCACCAATCCGGAGCCGGGAGCCAGGAGCTTCTTCCAGGTCTCCCACGCAGTTGCAGGGGCCCAAGGACTTGGGCCATCTTCTACTGCTTTCCCAGGCCACAGCAGAGAGCTGGATAGGAAGTGGAGCTGCTGGAACTCAAACTGGCATCCATATGGGATGCCAGTGCGTCAGGCCAGGGCATTAACCCACTGTGCCACAGCACCGGCCTGGTGAATGTTCTGAAAACAGTGATGTGTGCTGGGCAGTGTGCTAGTTGTTAGTGATACATAGTTGAATGAAAAAAAGTTTAGACAAATTTCCTACCTTCCTTCCTAGTCTAATGAAAGAGAAAAAATAATTATAAAATACTGGTATAATAAATATTGTACTAGAGAGTTACATGATAGAAATTAAGGGAAGGTCTTGGGCATTGGAGATTGTAAGAAGGAAGTGTGCTGCACTTGAATATCAGCAGCAGGTGTTTGTTGGAGAAGTATAGAAGGTCCAAGCAAAGGAAAGCAGCTTGTACAAGATAAACCAATGCAAGAACAGATTTGGTGGATGACAGAATATCAGGTAAGAGCATGAGATGAAACTTGGGAGGTGGCACTGAAAACATCCCAGAATACCACAGAATCCTATAGCATGCCAAGGATTTTGAACTTCATCCTGTGGGCAGTGGCATGCCCTTGAGGGATTTTAAATGAGGGAGGTAAGTCCAATAGGGAGTTAAGTTCCTTATTGGAACTGGGCTTTTAGAAGAAAGCTTTCTTTGGTCATGTGGCTGTTGGATTTGGAAGGACATGAGATAGGTAGCAGAGCCTAGAGTCTCGTGGCCTATACTAAAATGATACTAGGAATGGAGGGAAAAAAAATCTGTGAAGTATTTAAATAGTGAAATTTATCTAACCTGGGGAGCCATCAATATTAAAAATAAGAAAGATTTTAAGGTGACTCTCAGGTCTCCCTGGTTGCATGAATTGGTATGAATTAGGGGTCCAGAGGAAGAGCAGCTTTGAGGAACAGTTGAATGGATGCAGTTGGATTTGAAATATTTTCTTTGAGATGTTTATAGGGATGTTCTGCCATAAAGAATGGTCAAGGTGGAGAATGTAGGTTGTAGGCTAAGTCCTGTATATACTTCACGCTGCCAGGGAGCATGTGGAGGGTTAGAAGAAGATTCACTGTTCAAGAGTATGTCCTAGGGGGGCCTCTAAAGGAAGAGAAGAGTTCTCAGGAAGTCAGATATGAGAAGCCAAAGGGAGTAGAAGCCCTGGAGTGACATTTACTCAGAGTCTACTATGATGAAGGTGGAGTGTGTGTAATTTGTTTGGTAATGGGGTTTTTGTTGATCCTGGCAAGTGCCAATTTAGGGAATGATAAGCTTGGAAGGGAAGGCAGTGGAATTGATGTACCAGTGGAGTAGTAGAGATACGTGGCATTTTCTTTAGGAAGCTTTGGCACAAGGAAGATGAGCTAGTGCAATAGGTTAAAAGAAAATATAGAGCCAAAGTTGGTGTTCTTTATGTATGTATGTGTTATTTATGTTGGGGAAGAGGTTTAAAACATGGAGAGAAAGAAGATATACTTGAAAGAGCAAAGTCTCAGTGCGTGAAATAGTGTAATATCAAAATCATATGAAGGGGCTGGCGTTGTGGCATAACAGGTTAAGCAGCCTCCCGCAGCGCCAGCTTACCAATGGGTACCATTTCAATTTCCTGCTGCTCTGCTTCTGATCCAGCGCCCTGTTAATGTGCATGGGAAAGCAACACATGGTTCAAGTGTTTGGGCCCCTGCCACTCACATGGGAGACTTGGAAGAAGCTCTTAGCTCTTGGCTTCATTTTGACTCAGCTCCACTTGTTGTGGCCATTTGGGGAGTGAACCAGTAGATAGCAGATCTCTCTCTCTCTCTGCCTCTCTCTCTCTCTGCCTTTCAAATAAACTAAATAAATTTTTTTAAATACACATGAAAAGTATATTCTGAAAGAAGATTATAAGGTTAACACAGTTTTGAAAACCACTAGTGGCATGAACTTCAAAAAGGAGTAGGTTTTGTACAAAATACAAAGTCTGAAAAAGAACATGGAGCAGTGAGATAATATCATTGCTTCCAGAGAGAAGGGTGATAAGCAAAAGATTCTCCAAGGAAAGGTGATGTCAGTGGGGTTTTGGAGGGGAGCTGGATTTCAGTTAAATCTGTGGCCTGTGTGTGTTGTGGACAAGATGATTAAGAAGCTTTGTAGAGATTGGATTAAGATGGCAGAAAACTCAAGTTTTCTGCCTGAGTCTAGGATTAGATAGTTTAAAAAAAGTGGAAAGAGTGCAGTCTCAGGGAAGAGTTAGGGAGAAAACAACAGAGGAAACTAAGTAAATTGGAGGAACACAGTGGACCTACGTGGAGGACACAGATGCACGCAACTTAGGACCCCACCAGCTGAGAGCCTCCATTCCAGTATTGGGGAACAAGGGGAGACCAGACTGTAGCAGCCCAAGCCACTGGCAAAAAAAGCTGCAGGAAGAACCAAGAGGGAATCCAGCTTCGAGCCCCTTTGGGGATAGTATACCCACCAAACTAGAGGAGAAACAAAAGGGGGGCATGTTTTCTTTCTCCACAGTCATCCTGCAAAGGTACCCTAACAAGCTGACAAAGAGCAAGTGCCATTTTGGACATGCGTAACAGCTACGCCAGCACTGAGCCAAGTGGAGACTCCTGAGTCTTGTGGGGAAAACAGACTGGGGGCTGGGTGCTCGTGTCTCTGAGAGACTTGTGTGCTGGGACTGTGAAAACTGCCGAGGCTCTGTGGGAAGACTCAGGGTGTGGCAGGGACATCGGGCAGGCACTGTGGAAGGCTCCACATGATCAGGGCTCACTGGTTACCTGGCAAGAGACATTGCTGGAGAATCTGAGCTTATACTGAGGACTGCACAGATCCTTTGTGTGGTCCTCGTGGCAGAGCGGATGAATAATATACTCACTGGGGCTAGCACCCAGGACTGGTCTCCTTCAAGGAGAGGAGCTCAGCTGAGTCTATGCTAAAAGACAAGAGAAAACCTCCTCTTTGATTAAAAAAAATTTACCATGCCAAAACTGGGTGTGTTACCTCAGACACACCCTTCACCCTGGAGCACTGAACAGAACTCTGGCCACTCCTACCATATGCCTCTAGTTATTCCCTGAAAGCACAGTCCACTAATCCAATCAGCCATAGTCCAAAGATAAAAGCCACAGCAAAAACTCAAAGAAACCAATGAGTACCCCACAAATGCTGAATAACAAATGGACCAATCCAAGAAATAAGAACAAGGAAGACAACATGACATCCCCAAAAGAACACAACACCTCAATACTAGATTGT